GAGGATGGTGTGTATATGGAATGAGCTGCCAGAGGAAATGGTGGAAGCTGGTACAACTACAGCATTTAAAAGGCATCTCAATGGATATATGAATAGGAAGGGTTTGGAGGGATATGGGTCAAATGCTGGCAAATGGCTCTAGATGAATTTAGGATATCTGGTTGGCATAGACGTGTTGGGCCAAAGGATCTGTTTTCATGGACTACAAACCTCTGACTATGATTCTCAAGGGGAACTAGGGGAGAGCAATAAATGCTGTCCAGCCAGCGACATCCATATTCCACCAGTGAATAAAAAACAATCTGCAAACGCTACCTGCTTCAGTGCCCTAAAGATCTGAACTGAAATTCCTTTTTCTTCTCCAATTAAAATCGCACCATTTAAGCCATACCTCCTGTCCCTGTTTTTACTTCCAGAATCTTATACTGTACTTCACAAGTTAACAAATAAAACCGCATTTGCCATCCTGTCAGTCCACATCCTGCTGAAAAGATTTCCTCGGTTATTCATTGTTAAACCATCAAACCGGGCAATATCAACAGTTATAATTCCATATCTGTCTTCTCAGATACCACAAAGTGTTAACCCATGTCTCTCACTTCAGAAGTGTTTTAAATGATAGAGAACGAGCTGTCTTTATGCCAAGGTAATATTCATTTCGACATTTTGGTATTGTCAAATTATCTTAAATAATGTTTTGGGAGGCTTTAATCTTTAATGATTATAAAGGCTGATGTGGCTTTGTTAAAATAACTTCAGTGTATATGTCTGTCTATTCTGAAGCATTTCAAAACCCCAGAAAAATTCTTTGGTTAATCTACACCATCCTCGGAATTTGGCTGTAAGGCAGAAATGGAAAAATTCTCGTTTATAAGGAAACAATTTACGAGGACATCTAAATTAAAGCGTGGATTATACTTGTTAAGAAATGAAATTCGTTAATTCAGTGGCCTTCACATTTAAAGTAGGGTAACATTGATTGAAAGATTTAACTATTTTTTGTGCACATTTTTTCAGCCCAGCTTAAGGGAAAGTTTCTCCTCACTGTCACACATTGCCTTTCCGTCCAGTTCAGTGCTGTGCGGATGTATTCCTCAGCTTACTGGTGTATCAAAAAGGCTAACGTTCAAATATTTCCAGACAAAATCTGAACTGGTCAAGGGCATCCGCCAAATTATTTGCAAGGAAACATAAATGATACAAATTGTCCCCTTAAATAAAACGCAGTCGACTTGAATGATTTGTTACCCGAAAGGCCATCAACGCGCTTAAAGAATATTTTAACTGGATCTAATTTTACAGACAGAATTTGACAATTGGCAAAAGTCGAGATGGTGAGACAGCTCGTCCAGTAACGGAAAGGTGAAGAATGTCACAGGTGACTGAAAACACATTTTAATCAGATAGTTTAGACACGATTGGAATCATGAAGCACTGTCATTTCAAGTCAAACCACAAGGATTTTTAAAACACATTTTGGTAGAATGATGAAATATAATTTAAACCCCATATTCTTCTCCTTACACATGGGCAAAAATATGAAACTGCAACTATAACCAGGTCACTGTTTCAGAGCAGGATAGATTCACACGAATTATACCCTTGTCATGAACAGTCCATTTGGAGAACAAGTGTAAGAGAAGATTTAATCATACAAAGTTCTGTCGGATTTTGGAGTCATAGAGATGCACAGCGCGGAAACAGACCTTTCGGTCCAACTGGTCCATGCCGACCAGATATCTTGAATTAACCAAGTCCCATTTTGATGTACGAACAGGGGGAAGAATTTTTGAGGAGACAGTCGGCGGATCATTAATGTCAAATCGCTAATGTGAAAAAAAATAGAAATTTCTTCACATGGGTGGGTGCTGCAATCCTGAGGTAAAGACTTTGCTACGGCAAATGATCACAATGCATTGTAACTTGTGAAAGGGAAGGATTTGCAGGGGTGATGGGGAAATGGAGGACCCTGGGGAGAGCAGGGGCGAGGAGTGACGATGACTGTGGGCTGTTGACACACAAACCGAAATCTAATTTATTTGTTGCACATTTTACTGCAGCTTATCAGATGCGTTTCTTTGTACAATATTCACGCTATAATATGAACAGAAATGGATTTCTCTGATGATAGTACATACCAGCACTGTGCACTTCTGACAAGAACTGAGCGAAATATTTCGTGTGCTCAAGTTTTCATTCATGATATTTGACCATCCTCGAAACTTGAGAATGTTATTTTGTCCACATTTGCAACGTACTTATGGTTTAATGTACGCGTCGATGTTGTGAAATGCAACGTTAAGGTAGAAACGGTGTTCATGTTATTTATTTAATGTTTTAATTGTTTTATTTGTAATCTGTAACAGCTTGGTGTACTTGAATTGTTGTCAAGTATAGAGCCACCTGTAGCAGGTTAGACAGCTTGGGTATAATTAGTGGAGATCTGCAGTTTCTTTACAAATGAGCCAATGGAGTATTTATCAATACCTCTGTGCTTGGAAAAGCAAGATTGACCCCACTGGAGACCCTTAGCCAATCGATTTCCTGCTTTCTTAAGACTTTGTCTCGGTAGATGTAACTGGATCTGAAAAACGTGGGGCAGAAGCAGCATCGAGCATTTCTGCGTGTTAAGCCATTCATTTAGGCTCGGTTTCCTTTGTCAGCGGAACCTTCCTGTTCTAGCAATTCCTGATGTTTTAATTTCTACCCGTTCCAATCAAAATAAGAAGCCGCAAATGATTTTTAAAAATCGCTGCCAATTTAGTTGTGTACCTGAGAAAACCTCTGTTGGCACTAAATGCCAGGAGAAAACATTTGGAATTAATTTGATGAGCTTTCCCTTTTAGTTCACATACTGGGTTTTATGACTCATTCATAAAAGTCCGCTCAGGCACTGTTTGAAATACCTGAATAAATCCATTGTCATCAAATTCCTGGTGACAACAATTTATAAAACAAGTTACCGCAAAGGATTCTTTAATAGAAATCTTGTTTAGAAAAAACGACTCTCGATTAATGTGCATGATTTTTCGAATCAATTACTTTTTTTATCATAAATAATTTTAAAAAGTCACAAAAGGCACGATGTAATATTTTCGTTCGGATGTCATCTCGTTAATAAATATCAGCTCATAAAGACGCACAGGTTAAAACCGTGGAACCAAATAGGATGCCTTTTGGTACTCCAATTTGGAGAGAGTGGAGAGATTGTTGCGAAATGAGCTTCCCATATCCACACGAGGATTTATCGAATTACTTGCACGGTCTCCTCCGACACTGCGATAACACTTTGGTTCCATTCCCCGCCACAAATCTGACCGGAGGCCATTACTTTCCTGTAGGGTCCTAGGCGCACGGTTATTGAAGAAAGGCCCAAGATACGAAAGTGAGACCTGCATTCGTTCTGGACTCGAGAGGATCTCTACAACTGTTTAACAAAATCAATCAATTCGGCCATAAATCTCCAGGAAGAGGTCACTTTAGAACACACCTGCACAAACAATCAGGGCTCTCCCAGCACCGTCAACTTTTCAGAAATTAATGTCATATTTTCCGATAATATAATCATTCGCAACGCTTAAATAAGATGACATTAGATGCTGATCTTCCCTTGCAATTAGCTGCATTCAGATTCCTGTATAGTTCTGGCGTATGTGCTGCTTGCAAGCAACGGAGATGTCTCCGGCTCCTAACTAAAGTGCCAAACATTTATAAAACTTTATTTATCCTATTTCACCGACAGAAATCAAGTGGGTTTGTAAATTATCTATCTTGGCGTTTCCATGGCAGAGACATTGAAAGAATGTAAGAGCAATATCTAAGGCATGAAATAACAAGATCTAAATACAGTTGGATAGAAACTACCAAACATACAAATACCAGAAAGAACTGCGGATGCTGAAGAACTGAAACAGAAACAGAAATTGCTGGAGAAACTCAGCAAGTCTGGCAGCATCTTTGGGAAGAAAGCAGAGTTAATGTTTAGAGATCAATGTGTCAACACCTAAGCGAAAAATTATAAGAAAGAACCACAAAGAATTTAGCATAAATGCATTGTTGAGTTTAACTAATCTTGTCCTCAAATTCGTTATAGTCTGACTTCAACTAAAGTTCCAATTATGCACCCAAGGATTTTTCCGGGAAAAATCATATACGAATTATTCTGAATATTTAGGATTTAAGGAGTACAATTCTGTCATACAGCTAGTAATTGAAGATAGTTCATTCAAAATATATGTTTCGTTCAGTAAAATTAAAGGACTCCTGACTTGTCATTTATTTGTAGAGGTATTTGTATTTAGACATACACTTTACACATTATTTTAAAAATCCGAAGTGAAGGTGGCCTGTTTTACTTTAAAACTGAGATAACAATCACCTCTTGGTTAAATAATCATATGGTCCTAAACTAATGGGGCCGTTTAATTGATCTTTGCTGCAAACGAGTTGGTTGAAAGTCCTGAAGAAGGAGCACTGGACTCGAAACGTTGACTCTGCTTTCCTCTCCTCTCTCTGGAGAGATACAGCCAGACCTTCCGAGTTTCTCCAGCAAACTCTCAGCGTTTGATTGGGAGTAGCGTGTTCGAATCCTAGTCCTGATGGAACGTACCACTGGGCACGGGATAAAGAAAAACTGAGGTATTTATTGAAAGTTCAGACTCCAGGCGTGAATGTAAGATATGGGAATGTTTAAACAGATCTTCAATAATAAAGAAAATGAATTAAAAGGAAGAAAAAAAAACGCCCCCATGCCCTTATTTAGAGGAATTGAGTGTCAGTGATAAGAGTTTGTTCGTCACATCTATTGAATGGTTAGATCCAAACAGGTACATCCCCCCCATTTAAAAATGATAGTGGAAGCAGTCAAAACGAACTGGAGGTGGGGTTTCTTTTGTCGGCAAAAGATTTTTTTTTTGCATCGGTCTTTGGTATTTAACAAAATTGTAGAAGGAATCTTTTTTCACTTGAGGTTCATTTCAATTTTGCAGAGGGCTGTTGTCATGTCAACGGGATCTATCAGTGACACCGAGGACTTGCGGGAGATGGAGTTACACGGGTTCCAGCTCCGGTGTAACGGTTTCAAACACGAGGCGAACGACACGGAGTTCTACATCTCGGCTGAAACCACTGACGAGGCGTGCTCCGACTGCAGTCCCAAGAGGAAGAGGCGGCCGGGCGTTCGCAAAAAGCAACTGCCCAAGCGAGTCAAAGAGGGAAAACAGACGCAGAGAAACGCTGCCAACGCCAGAGAGAGAGCCAGGATGAGAGTGCTGAGCACAGCCTTCTCCAGATTAAAAACCAGCCTTCCCTGGGTGCCGTCAGATACCAAACTCTCTAAACTGGACACCCTCAGACTGGCAGCTAGTTACATTGCACACTTAAGGCAAATCCTGGCCAACGATAAATACGAAAATGGATACGTCCATCCGGTAAATCTGGTAAGAAAATGTGAATGTGGCATGAACTAGATTTTGCATCCATTTTCATGCCTGCTCCTTATAAATTGGGGTTGCTATTGTGGTAGGTGGGCATCTGTCTATTTTTTATTTAAAGTTCTGCCTGACAGGATAGTTTTTAAAAAATGACACGAGGCAAATGTTAAACCAGCACCGAGTGAGTTGCAAAGTGAGTGCGCTTGCTGATCTCGTGTGTGGACGTTGCAAGTGAATCGATTACTTTGCGATTTAACATGTGAGCACTGTACTGGTAAACAACTCCACATTGGCCTGTTTCTGCTCCGTCTGATGCTCCTATTTCACAAACCTCTCCATTCCAACCTATAGCCGAAAGTGAACTGACAATTCCTGCATATTGTCAGCTGAGCTTATAAAAACAGACCTTTACCAGCTATACCACACTAACAGCATGTATATAACTATTGGGAGGTGGGACGCATTGTGGCACAAATAGCAGTTTGCTAACTCCACGTTCAGATCTCTCTCTCTCTTCCCCCCGCCCCCGTACACACGAGAGAGATCTTCATGGGAAGGTTTTTATATACAGTGTGACATTAAACGCCATCCACAATGTTGTGGAACGATTCAGAAATCTCCCGAAGAAAATTCAGTTTTCCAAAAAGTCGAGAAAACACCAAGATTAAAAAAAAGACACCTTCTTGACTCTTTTATTCGCTTGCAAAGACATTGTGACTAATGTGTAGACAATTCTGCGTGTTGATCTAACACAGAGGCCTGGCTCTATTAACAGATATAAATCGGATGTTATTATTTGTGTAGAAGGTGGGATCATTGAGTCAGCGAGATTCGACGATTTCTTGTTGCTGGTTTATCGCCTGGTCACAGATTTTGTCAGCTGCTAACTCAGAAAATGGACATTACCAATACGAACATAGTCAAATTGTTTTAGCAGCGAAGCTTTAATGCTTTAAGTTATGACGCTTGCATAATGACAGTCACTAATTATACAATGTGCCACCGTCATAATTTAAAAAAAAAGCTTTGCCGCTGAAGCAATTTGTCCTTAATTTTGAGAATGGAAATACTTCAACTTTCAAAATAAACCTCTTTTTTCGACGTAACTGTTTCGTTAATTTGTAAAAAGTCTATTTTTGAGGTAATTCCATGATATATCATTATACAATTCCCTTTACATGTTAAACAATTGATTTCTGCGCAGTTGAAAGCTGAGGATGTCACAGGATTAATAAGTAGGACTGAACAGGGCACCAGGATTTTTAAAAGCACCAACATTGCCTTGGAATTAGACACTACCAGTTATTGCATTTCCATTAAATGGAGATGTTTACACGAAGCTGGGGTTATTGAAAGATTTCTGTGAAGACTTCTTCAAGTCATACAATATTAGGACAAAGGAATATTGTCACTTAAAATAAATCCTATAAGAATAAATGGTCATCATTTTTCAAAAGCTTTTCAGGATTAATTTTGGTCTGAGTCTCACACTGCTTTGTTTCATAATGAAGGTCAGGCTTTTCAAAACTGCACTTGACCATCTAACCCAAAACCTCAGGGAACATAGGAGCAATTCAGCTCCTCAAGCCTGCTCCACCATTTGATACAATCATGGTTGATCTCATCTCAGCCTCAACTCCACTTCCCTAACCTATTCTCCATAAACCTTAACCCAATTACTAATTTTTTTAAAAAAAAGTCTGTCTCCTCAAATTGTCTTAATGTCTCAGCATCCCCTACACTCTGGGGGAGTGAATTCCGCAGATTCACGACCCTTTGAGAGAAGTAATTTCTCCTCATCTCTGTTTTAAATCTGCTATGACCTGCCATTTCTAGATTGCCCCACAAGAGGAAACATCCTCTCAACATCTACTTTGTCAATCCCCTTCAGCATCTTATATACCTCAAATAGCTCTTCTGTCATTCTTGCAAACTCTGGGGAGTTTCGGCCTAAACTGCTCAATCCCTCTTCATGAGACAAACCCCATATCTCTGGAATCAATCTAGTGAACCCAAATCAGTCTAGACAATCCCAGCTAAGGTTTGTCCTTGTGATACATAAGGCTTAGTGCCCTTGCGTTAATAGAAAACAGCACAACTTTAAACTTTCTCTTCAGGATAACATTTTAACAAATAATCTCCCAGCTGCAATTACAACAACCCTTAAACAAATGAGGTCGTGTGGTTTACGTTTGTATAACCCCATGTCGTCAGAAAATGATGGGTAATCCCTATTCAGTCGCCTTTGAACCTATGAATCTGTATGGGCATTGTATTACTCTTCTGTCCGTATTGGTCCAATTACTGAGCATCAGTTTGACAATTCAGTCTTCCACGTATCTACTAGCTGATCCGTTTAAAAATACATCACGTTGATTCTCTTTTTGTATCACGCTTTTTGCAGGATATTGCATGTTGTATAGAGTCTATATAAGTTGATCTGTATTCCTTTCGAATGTTGTTTCATGCAGACTTGGAGTTCAAAGCGGTGGAAATACCAATGCTAGCTGAGAAAACGGGGTTTGCGAAAATATTCAGTCCTTCGCTATTTCATTGGGGACCAGTGGAATATTTTGCTCTGACGAAGGGTCGCTGGACCCGAAACGTTAACTCTGATTTCGCTTCACAGATGCTGCCAGACCTGCTGAGCTTTTCCAGCAATTTCTGGGTTTTTTTAATGAATATTTTGTTCTAATTCTCTTGATTTCACCTTTCAGACTTGGCCTTTCATAGTTTCAGGAAGATCAGACGTTGACAGCAAAGATCTCACAGCTACGTCCAGATTGTGTGGGACCACGGTCTAGCTTTGAAAGTCAGCTCCCTCTTCTCCTTCCTCTCTAAGCAGCGTTCCGTGGCGTTTCACCAGACGGAGCATGTTGGTCTTTCTCAGTGGGAGAGGTTCCGCCGTCCATCACGTTTCGATGTCATTTTAGGCTTTCGGCTTTTAACTGTATGCTTTGCAGGACAAAGCTCAGAATTGCGGCAAAATGTCAAGAGTGGACGAGGGATTAGGGAAACGTCGGCCGCAGCAGGATATTTCAAAGGTTTGGTGAATGGACGATCTACAGGGGAACACACACACACACACACACACTCTAAGGACCAATGATGGATGTTTACTTTACACAACATGGGATGAGGTATTAGCATGCTGCCCTACACGCACTGAAAGTACATACAGTATTAAAACAATCATTATTGAGAGAACTTTGTTAGCTTTAAATCTGAGATAGATAAGCTTCTGTTAAGCAAAAATATTAAGGGATATGGGACAAAGGAGTTAAGCCAGAGAATGGCCTACTCATGTTCCTAACTAGCAGTATTAACTTGTGATATATAAATTGTGAAATAATGACTGCAGTGGGTAGTGGAAAGAACAATTTGTTTTTCAACAGCATTGCAGTTATTTTTTGGAATTTGTGAATGAAGGTGCAGTTGTCCTGCTGGCTTCCAATATTTTGTTACAAGTTTCTATTAAGCCTATAACGCACTCACTTCTTAATCCTGCTTTCCATGATTATGGTTTATCCTTTACAATGTGTAGTTTAGTGTTTTTTATATATAAAAAAGTGATTTTTGCTGTAGTTTTGTTTGAAAATAATTTTATATGTGGAAGCAATAGCACTTTACATGTTTGCCATCAAAATGTCCATTACTGGAAGATTTTACCTTAGAAAGAGCAATACATTTAAGGTTGTTTGCAATAATATCTCAATTTAAGTGGGAATTTTAACCTTTGTATCAGAAATTCCAAATGTTTAATTCCTAGTTTCTTTTTTACCAAAGGTGTTCCCAGTTGCTGGAACTACCTTTTGTCTTTAAAACTTGACTGATTATTTTATTTTTGTTATGTGAATTTGATAATGTTTTATGTTGGGGAAAAAAAGATATGCTGCTGCGGACAGGATGCATTGCAGCTTTCTTCGATCACATGTCTCAAATCTGCAGCTTCCATCACCTGGAAATCACAAAGTTTGCAGTTACATGGGAACACCGCAATGTCCCAATTCCCTATTAAGTCTCACACCATCCCAACTTGGACATATATCATGATTCCTTCATTGGCACTAGGTTAAAATCCAGGAACTCTCCCCCAGAAGCAGCTCACTACTAGGGCAGCACAGTGGCTCAGTGGTTAGCACTGCTACCTCACAGCGCCAGGGATGTAGGTTTGATTTCCAGTCTTGGGCAACTGTCTGTGTGGAGTTTGCACGTTCTCCCTGTGTCTGTGTGGGTTTCCTCCGGCTGCTCCGGTTTCCTCCCACAGTCCAAAGATATGCAGGTCAGGTGGATTGGCTATGCTGATTTGCCCATAGTGTCCAGGGATGTGTAGGGTAGGTGGATCAGCCATGGAAAATGTAAGGATAGGGTCAATGTGGACTTGATGGGCTGAATGGCCTGCTTCCACACTGTAGGGATTCTATGATTATCAACTAGGGATGAGCATCAAAAATGTGGCCTTTGCACGTGACTCTCATATCCTAGGAATGCATTTTAAAACTCTTCCTATAAAATATTGCAACACTACAACATGCGCCCTAACACCCCTATTATTTTATAATTTCTTTTTCCACTTAAAATTGTAACTTCTTTGTCAGCAGTGTGTGGCAAACTCTGTATTAAAACACCTGAATGAAACCCAGTCAAATAATATTTTTTAAATGACCAAAATGTTTCTTTTTTGTATATGAAAGAAGATTTGTGCTTTAACAGTTTTAAAATGAGTCATTAAAATATCTGTAGCCCAAAGGGCTGCATTTTAACCTACTCAAAACCCATTACTTACACAAGACTTACAATTTGGACAGCATTGTTCAAAAAGCCTAAATTTCACTACAGTTCCTAGACTCTGCGTTCCTCAATTTCATTCCAGTGGTGGTAGGCAGTATGAAAATAGCTTTCTGTTCAAGTGATAACGAAAGTGGAACTAATACCACATCACTCTGTGTGCTATGAAAGTGGTTACCAACTCTTATACAGTGCACTTAACAATCCAATTTTAAATAAATTTTTTTATCTCAACACTTTGAAAATCAGTTAGGACTCATTGAATATTGTGGCAGCAATTCTGAGAATCACTGCAAATAGTGAAATGGATTTAAGTGAAACAAAGGTTCTCATAAGAATCAATGCATAAACAGGAGTTAGGTTCTATAGGCTTTCATTTTCAGAAAATGAAACCTGTAAGTTAAAATGTTTTACATTGCTAAAAGAATTAACTTTAATGATATTATAAATTTGAAAATGAAACAGACAAATGTAACCTTCTGCTTAGAAATTGTCAAATTCCAAAGCTCTTTTTTGTCCAATATCAGCTACTATCTGATTTCCTGTTCCACTATGCAGTTGCTACTCTTTCAGCCAACTTGCTTTCATTTGCTGGAACTCCCTCCCTTAACATTTCTCTTTTAAAGAGCTCTAGTGTTGTCACAGAAGTGCTGGGGCTGTTATAATCAATGATTTTTTTTTAAAATGACTGTCAAAGCTGCCCTCACTTGCAGTGCTCACATGAATACTCCCCTATTCAATTAGATCAGGAGAGGTTGCAGTTTGACATCGGGAGCAGGGAAGTTAGATGGAGCTAGAAGGCATAGCAGAGGTCACAAATTGAATGCAAGAAAGTGAGAGAGCAAGAAAGGCTGGGGATAATGCGGGACACATTGTTAAACTGAATCTCATGGCACTCACTGAGTTTAGAGGCCCCATTAAGTTAGTATATTAATGTAAAATAAGAGTAAGCAGAATGAGATTAAATGAGGACTACAAGTAGCATGTAATAGCCTAATTTTAGTGTATAAAGAATAAGCTAGTGAAAGAGTGATCATTTTAAGGTAAGGTTTGCAGCTTATTTAATTATTTGGTAATCCTTTTACTCCAAGTTAAAGTAAACAGTATTCCAAAATAGAATCTTAAATCAGTTTGCTTTGAATCGCTCTGTACAATAAACCACAAACGATGTCACATATTCAGATAATAAATGCATTTGCAAACCATTACATTTATTGGTTTTGTTTAATTTATTTGCTGTAATTAGTCGTGAAACAACCCACTAGGAGATAGGCAGTACAAAAATATGTTTTTTCTTATATTTGTTAGAACATGTTATCAAGACCCAACACTGAGATGATTCAAAGGATTTAGCAAGATATTATTGGCAACATAGAAACTCTAAACATCTAAACGATAAAACAGATATGATATATAAATATATACTTTTGGAAAGAAGTTTATTGTTCTGTTTGAACTCCATTCACTAGATATATGTAAATTAAGAACAAAAAGATATTATGATTTATTTAATAGACAAGGTGGTTTTAAGATCTAATTAATATTTGCTTTAAGGAATGCTTCCTTTCCCTGTCCTTGTCTATTCTGGGACTGCAAAATAAATAACCAATGAGGGATGAGTGAAACTATGAAGAAGAAAGTAAGTAATTTCGACATGTAATATTATACATTATGTGTAAGTGACAATTTCTCTGCTGTAGGTAATGGATTTTGTAATTGGATGGGAATATAGGAGTGGTAATAGTTCTTCAGGTAGAAATGAACAGCAACATCTGAGCTATAAAGTTGTTATAGAGTGGCACATCAGATAGCAGTGGTGTAAATTAATGAAAACTGAAAGAACTATGAATGCTGTAAATCAGGAACAAAAACAGAAGTTGTTGGAAAAGCTCAGTAGGTCTGGCAGCATCTGTGCAGAAAAAAATGTGTTAAAGTTTCGGATCCAGTGTGTGTGTGTGTGTGTGTGTGTGTGGAAATTAATGAGCTATCCAGAAACTGAGCGTAGCGTAAACTTTACCATAATTAGTGAATAAAATTAAACTAGTCTAAGACGTGGCAGAGCTCAGACTGCAATATATCACATTTCTTGGATGTGACACTGTCCTAAGCAAACATGTTGCAGGAAGTGTCTGCATCTCGAATCTCTTCAGTATCTGAGTTAGACTGCAACGTGGAGAGAATCTGACACATAAAGGAAACGGAGGAATTTCTGAATTGTTATATCCAGAATATTGCCATGCTCTAGAGGAGAATACTGTTTCAGGAAAGAGTGGATATGACTCATGGGATACAAGCTAATGGTGATTTAGGGGACATTGAGAAGGGGGTGCTTCAGATACTAGTCTGTTCAGCAACAATTATCTGTGAGAACAAATAGAAAGGCTAAAGGGACCTGAGCTATATTGCAGCCAAAGAGACTTTGGTTGACAATGGCCATGGACAAAGAATAGAACAGAAGTGTAGTACTGCTAGGAAACTCTAAAATTTGTGAATACATTGCAAGAACAAGAATCCCTGATATTGTGTTTCTTGACTGGTATTAGGTACGAGATAAAGTTGTGGTGGTTAGAGAAAAACTGAGAAATGAGAAGGGTGAATAGAATTGATGTGATCCATGTTGGAATAAACGGCATAAGCAGGAAGAGGAAGGGGGAGCTGTTGTGGAAAGGATCTCAGAAGTTTGGCTCCAAACAAAAAAAAGATCTCAAGTGTAACGATCTTATCCAAGTCGCAAGCAAATTGACATGAGAGCAGACAAATTGGAAGAATTGACATGCGACTAAAGGGCTATTGCAGGAAAGGAGAATTCCTCTTCATGGGACACTGACATCACCTCTGCAAGAAGAATGAGCTCTACTACTGTAATGGGCTCCACTTGCTTTTGAATGAGACAGTTGTCCAATCGGAAAGGATTATTAAGGATTTGGCAAAGACTTTAAACAAGTAAGATGAGGAGGGATTTACATGAAATGGAAGAAATCTAAACCTAAACAAAACAAGGCAGGAGAAAATAGGA